GGGTTGTGACATCCTCTGGCAGAAGGGGGTCATGTCCCTCAGTGAGTGTAATGGGGTGGGTTTTGGGTGCTTAATTGTGTGTGCAGCAGACTGCTGAGTTTGGACCTGCTGCACAGAGTTTGTCTTACAGAAGAGATGATCAAAGGGTTAACGGAGAGAAGATGATTAAAGAAGAGTATGGGAATTATGGCACAGAGCTGTCACCACAACATGCTTTTGAGAAAGAGGGCAGAAAACACAGTATCTAAACCCACTATATATTTTTTTTTCCCCAAAACGAGGTAAGAGCTGTGTCTTGCTGCAGCACACCATATTTCATTAATCCTGGAAGCTTGCCTCTTCTAACTAGTGGGGCTCTGGCAGAGAAGTGGGGGATTGAATCTGCTGTAAAAAAAAAAAGTTTATTTAGAGTTACAGTAACAATTAGAAAACCCCAGACAATTATCCCAGGTTCAAGATGACACAACATATCATTGATAATGCTGTAAAACTCCCATCGTGTTACAGTAATAATTTAAACAGGAGCTTCACGGGGTCCTAAAGGGCTCCCTTCCTGCCTCTTCATCACTGTAGGCTCTAAATATCATTCACTCCTTCACAAGGAAATGAAATACCCCCGCTCCATCTCCATAGGCTAGGGCCATAGCTGCTGTTCTGTTCTCTCTGAGGCATAATGGGAAAAATGTTGCTGAGACCCCAGTTCTCATGCATCTTCCTCCTCCTTCTCCTCACCCCTTGCAGTGCCCATCCTGGCAATGGTGCAGCCAGCCTGGGGAACCCATGCAAGGGTTTTCCAACTAAATGCCGCCTCTCAGCAGCGTGCCCGTCTGTTCGCCAGAGGAAAGAGAGGGCGGAAAGCTTAGGGCCGAGAGCTGCTGGAGTGACAGGCACAACATAAACTGCGATGAGTGTTACAGCAACATGCTGGGAAATCAATGCACTGAGCAGTGGTACCTCGGCGGGAGGAGGAGCAGCAGTCACGGGGGCTGGGATTCAAGCACCGAGACTCGAGTGAAACGGAACAGGTGGTGAAACCTCCAGCCTTGGTGTTCAGCAGGAGGGGAGATGTGGATGCCTGAGCCTCAATCTCCTTTTCTTTGCTCACTTTCCTACCTATCAATAGGCGCAATGTAATGTGATGTAATGTAATGTAATATAATACTTCCAAGACGGGGAAAAAAAAGACATCTTCTCTATCCAGATGGAGTTTTCTTTGGAGTCTACGAAGGCAGGTTTGCAGGAGTACTGCTTTGGCCCAGAGCTGTGCATTAGATTGGCAGACGTGGGAGAAGTGAGGACCAGCAGCAGGGCCTACTCCTGGTTCCTGCCCATCCCCCTGCCAGATGTCCTGTCCCATTCTGATATTCAGGGACCAGGAATGCTAGTGGGCAGCTCTCCATCCCATTCAAGGCAATGATTCCTACTGAAAGTCCAAAAGGATTCCCCTGCAACAAAAGCATCACCCGCTCCTCTCCCTCCTGTGGCATGGCTCAGCCCCACTGTCTGCATTTGCATGTGAGGAAACTGAGGCTGAGGGAAGAGTGCAAGGATGACCTGGCTTCCTTTCTCCATGTCCAGTTTTCAACCATCTTCTCCTGGCTGGTTGTTATGCAGTTGTTAGCCACTGTGTGAGAGCTAGAAATGCATCTGTAGCAGGTAAAAATGATGCTGTCGCTAAAAAACCTCAGGTGTCATACTTGGCTGTGTTGCAGTGATTGTGCAAGGCATGACCACCGCCACTCACTGGTCCTCTTGTTAGCCACCTCAGAGATGTCAAGAAATTAAACCTGAAACTGTAAGGACAAGCAAAATTAATGGATCACAAATCGTTTATTAGCTTTCACTGATGCTGATGGTAATGCTTTCAATAAGCCTAATGAGAAGTGTTTGACTGTCTCTGTGAACTTGATTATTGATTATTAGTGAACGATAAGAGTCATTTGATATCTTGCTGATGCCATGCTCCTATTGCTTTGCAGTTAAAATGTCAGTTAACATGCCATTTAATATTCTATTAGTATTGAATTAGCACTTATTACACTGTGAAAATCATCACCATAAATCCTTATTAAAGCGTGATCCATACAGCTGGGTGGCATCTCTGGCAGACTAAGAAGGTGCATGTGTGCAGACAGACGTACTGAGATGCATCATCCACATAGATGCATGTTCAGAGCATGTCGGGACTGGGAATTTTCACATTTGTACGCTGATTTTCCCTGACAGTGTGAGAGGAACATGTATGGTGAACAGAGAGCTCAAATCCACTTCACTTATGTTTCCCATTTTCTTCATTTCTTTCCGCCCTTCCCTCCTTTTTTTATTTTGGTAGCACTTGCTAACTTATTTCACGGGCATTTGCAAGGTTTTCTGACTACAGCTATTGACCACCGTCTAGGGCTGACCTTGATGGGTGTAGGACAGGTAATTACATGTTTTCTCTTCAAAAGAGAGGAGGGAGAGTCCCCAGGTGAGCATACCCTCAGAAGGGAGAGGACAAGGCTTTGCTCTGACTATGGTACTGAGCTGTTACTGACATGAGGCATATGACAGGGCCTCTTTGCTCCCTCCAAAGAGAGTTTTATAATGACTAGGTGCAGGACAGAGCCATGGAGGGCTGCACTATAGGTTTGGAAAGCAGCCTGGCAGGGCTGGTGCAGTGCCCTGGATCTGCTGGAGCCCAGCAGCACATACAGGTGTTCTGGAGGATTTTCAGAAGTGACTGAGAACCTTCAGCTCCCACTGACTTCAGCTGTTAAACTGCTTAGCTTTTCACCACCAAAAGACCTAACTCCTGATTCTTGGTGCTGTTACAACTCTACGCAGAAACTCATGTGCAAGAGGGCTCGTGACCCTTAGACAGCCAGCTCTGGAGGCAGTCTGGATGTTCCTACAGGGCTGCTGCTCCCAGATCTGGGGCACACTGCCCTCCTTGGGTCCTTTCTTTCACCTCCTGTCAATGCTGATTACAGCCTGGGACAGCCAATGCAACTAGAGTCATGCCCCATTGTAGTAGTACTGTTTTCTACATGTAAGTGGCTGCTCATGGATTCCCCTGCCTCTTTCTATTTGACAAAAAGCAGCTTTTTAAAAACAACACAGCTCTCACACCTGAGAGCTCACCTCAGGGGCAAGTGCCTGCCTGTTTGGGAGGGTGAGCTCTGGCCTGAGGGCCAAACCCTCTCCCCACCCTTGGCTGGATGGCACTAGTAAGGGACAGGATCTGTTGGGCTGCTCTCTAAAGCAAATGTTTGTTGGATCAGACAGAGCTGCTTACAGCTTGGCCAGCAGTGTGGTGAGCCTCTCATCGATGCTCACACAGCTTGGCTTTCCTCCTGCCCACAAGTAACCCCAGAACAACTTGGACACAGCATCCATGGGCATGCCAAAAGGGAGTGGGTGAGAGGTGCCGGCCATAATGGTAGGGTCACATCACAAGGGATGGCAGCTGCAGCACAGCGTGAATGAAATGCATTCAAATAGAGGAACTTGGAAAATGTCTGACCAATGCTAAAAGGCTGTACAAAAGCCTACTGTCAAATATTTGTCTTATCTTGAAGCAATAATCTTTATCCTCTCTCTTTTCTCTTTCAAATACAACACACGCATGAATAGTGAATAGGACACAATCCTGTGCAATGTGATCTAGAAGACTGCTTGAGCAGGGAAGTTTGACCAGATGACCTCACTGTGGTCCTTTCCAACCTTACCCATTCTGTGATTTTGTAGCAGTGGTAGGGAGAGGTGCTGGCTTATTTGGACGCTGTGACACTGTGGGCAAAGCTTTGAGAGGTGAAGGAGCAACACCTCTGGAGACTGAGCTTCCCCATTTATCCCCAAAACAAATATGGTGTGAGCTGCTGCAGGGCAAACCCTCTCAGTCTATCTGGGCCCACCCTGGTGGGTACAGCTGCCAGGAGGAAAGAGCAGTTATGTCTCTATGTTTTCTTCAGCCCTGGTCCTCTTGAATAAGACACAGCTGAGAGTGAGCAGGACATGCCTCATCATTGGCATCTCCTAATCTCTTCTGCGCAAGTCTTCTGGTGATGGGAAGCAATGCAGAGCAGGTGCCTTTGCCAAAAGTATATTTATCTTCACAGCACCTTGTCCACTTTGTCAAGAAACAAAATACTTCTCATGCAGTTGCAACAGGGTTAGCCAGTCCTCTGCCTTGTGATGGTTGGCAGTTGGGGCCATGGCAGTTGCTGCTCCTCCTGCTGCTCCTCTGCTTGCCACCTCTAGCTGTCATTCCTCCTCTCCTGTCCACCTGAGATCTTCACAGGACGTGCTGCGTGTCTCATAGGGATGGCAGTGACACCCTGCAGCCTCTCCTTTTCAGTCTGAGATCTGCACTTGCTTGCACAAGCAGGCAGATGTGCATCAGCGGGGAAGGGTGTGTGTGTGTGTGTGTATGTTAGAAGGGTAAAGTTTGAGCAGTGAATCCCTCTTTCGGCAAACCTATTTTTGGTCAGAGGGATGTAGAAGGGAGATATGCTATAGTTCTGTCCCCCTGTGCTGCTGAAACTGAGGGATGGAGGAGCTGTGCCCTGAGCTGACAAAGCTGGAGCCCTGAACCTTTGCCCTCCAGGCTGGAAGAAGTCTGGGAGTGTAACTCTCTTGTATACTCAACTTTTGAAGGTGAGGGAAAAGCACAGGAAGAAGTACTTCTCACCTTTCCCACTGTCAGGGTTAGAAGGGATTTGGTGATCAGGATCTCTTTTGGCCTTCCAAAGTAACTTTTGGTGCAGATATAAAGAAGAGAGAACAGGAGACATGGCTACCTCAAATCCCATGGTTTCATTAACTAAAAGTTCCTGAAGCCCTTAAAAATCATTGTGAAATACATGTCCATGGGACAGCAATGATGAGAAGATGCTGTGGTTCACTGACAAGGCAGGAATGTGCTATGAAATTTCTAAGGAAAGTAGTAAAGGGGAGGGACAAAAAGGAGATGATGGAGAGGGTTGTTATCTCCTGCTCACCTTTCTCATCCTCTGCAGGTGTTATGTAGAAGACAGAAGCTCCAAGGTGGCCTGGTTAAACCGTTCCGGCATCATTTTTGCTGGAGAGGACAAGTGGTCCCTGGACCCTCGAGTAGAGCTGGAGAAGAGAAACCCCCTGGAATACAGCCTGCGGATCCAGAAAGTGGATGTCTATGATGAGGGGTCCTATACGTGTTCAGTGCAAACACAGCATCACCCCAAGACTGCCCAGGTTTACTTGATCGTGCAAGGTAAGCAACATACCTGTTAAGAGAGCAAAGAGCAAAATAAACAGTGAGTGAGGGGATCTGTATCTTTCTTAGAGAAACTCCAGCCTGTGTATCGCTTATGTTTACAACAGGAGCCAGCAGGACTGCCCCCTTCCACTGCAGCACAGCATGGCTTTACTCTGCTGTCAGTTTGTCCTTTTAAAAGTGGTGACAGAGCAGGGGACACCAGTGATGCCAAGACATATTCTAGTATAATGCAAACCTGGCTCCTTGCTCAGGTTGTTTTGGCACTGAGGGGAAAGCATTTGTTCATAATGACACTTGTCAGAACATTGTGCTTGCTTCATCTCTTCCCAGACAACCCTCTGGTTTCTTCGCCTCCTCCTTCCTCCTCAGGTTTTCTTTCTTTTTTCTTGTGTCAACAAGCTACTGTGCTGTGTTTTTTGGCCTTCCATTGTCAACTCTTTGCAAGGCTGGGGGATTAATTTTTCTGGGTGTTTTTCTGTGCTGGGTCATTGGTTTGCAGGGTGTGCTGTCACTAGGCATGTGTAAAACCTGGTACCTGAGATAGCTGCCATGTACCTTATGTTGCCCTCTCCTTTTTTAGCTGCCCTCCTCCTGTGTGGGTTGTAGGGAACTGGAAACTTGCCAAACCAACACTGTCCTATCTGTTTGCCTGCATTTATGGTATTACAGACAGTAAACACATTAAAAGGTTCACCAATTACTGGTAAGGGCATTAGTGAGTTTACTAGTTCCATCCTGTCCTGACCAGAATACCAAACAAGTGAGTTTACTCAGTTTTGTTTTGTTTTTCTTTTGATCTTCAGGCCATTGTGTCCATCTGCCCATTTATCTAAAATATTTATAGAGCAGCTTAGGTGATGGGTATGTATAAATGCATTTGATACATGTTACAGATATGTTCAATTTCTACATTATTTTTCAGGCTGGGGTTTGTTATTTCTCCTGATTTGTCTAGTAACGCATAAGGCTGTAGATTTTATTCCTCTCAGCAAGTTTTTTAATTGCTCTGGATATAAATGCATGCACGAAGGAACTTTCCCTCTTGCTGGTACTGCTTGGCAAACCAGGGGGCTAACTAGCTTACCAAGTGTTTATCTGCAAGGTGAAGAAGTCCAGACATATGGTCAGAGGTGATGCTTTACACACAAGAGTAGTGAGACAGAGGGCTCCTGGTTTGCCTTGCACAAAATCCTCCCCAAGCAGCATGAAGAGCAGCACACACCAGCACACAGAGCAGCTCTCCTGGCCTGGCTGAGTGTTTGCTGGAGTGTGCCTGGTGTGAAATGCACTGAGCAGCCCTGGAGCTGTACCCTGCCTCGCTGCTCGCTGTAGCAGTGCATAGCTGACTGTCTGGAGGTGGTTTATTGCTGGTAAAATCTTGCAGCACACAATTTCCATTTAACTGTCAAGAAAAATATAGGGATAAATGAATTTTAGAGCCATGCACATGTATTATTAATTTTATTTGTACCTATTAGGTATGGGCCTAAGCAGCAAAATTGAGTTCTCTAGCTTAGCTTTCACCTAAATATATAGGTATCCGGCTCTGAACTACTGCCACCTTTCTGAGAATGAGAAAATTTAAGTTTTGACACACCTAAACTCTGGATGCCTGTAAACAAGGTATCTGTGGGTAATCATGTTCTAATACCTGCCACAGATTTAGCCAAAGACCTGTTGTGATATCATGGTTACTATAATCCTGTAGTTAGGTGAAATTCATAGCTTTAATTTTTCTAAAACTAAATTTCATCTGAAAAAAACCCAAGCAAAATATAAATAAAAAATCCTTTACAAATTGGAAGAGTTAGTCTCATTTTAAACCATGTTTTAAAAATAATCTTAACTAATAAAACTAATTTATTAGAAAAAATATATTTTACAATCCCTTTTGTCTCTGAGTATCATATAGTCATATTGATTGCTATTTTTCTCAGATTTGCAGGTTGTCTGCCTGAAAAATAGTCTGCGGTTAGTACAAATTAAAGGAGTTTGGATATTGAGTCATGCTAAGCTTGTTATTTATTTAATGTAGTTTATTTACTTCTTGTGGTTTTGTGTTCATAAATTTCAAAATGTAGGCTATATAAAGCTCTGGGCATCCCAAATATAAAAATAATTAAAAAAAGAAAATACAGCTCCGGAAACATTAAATGACAGGGTGGTCAACTGATCTGCCTGCTAATCTGTGAAGACAATTTCTGGAATGATGGTCAGTGATTCCCTTCAAACAAGCCTAGGGAAACAGAAACAAGCCAGGGTCAGAGACACCTTGCTGTCTTTGTGCACACAGTTGATGCCTGGATTAGCCAGTGAAAGATACTGCAATGATAGTTGCTCATGCCCTGGAAACAATAAGCTGTCTTAGGGCCATGCCCAGGCTTCCTGTTCTGCTCACTCAGCACTGTCATGGATTTTTCTGATCCCCTCTGCACTGTATCCTAAAGACAAGTCCTTTATCTCCCCTGGTTCAACTCTCTCATCTGTCTATCCCCTGTGGAATCCAGCCTCTATTACCCCTAGAAACAATTGGGATAGCTATACCAGAGACTAAGAAATGAGTAGGCAGATACTAGAGGGCTGTTGGAGCCCTTATAACTAGAGACCACTCCATGTCCATAATGCCAGCTGAAATAGATGGGCTTCGGTGTATCCTGAGGATACACCGCATTTAGGTCACTGCAGTCTAATGGAGTTGCCTTCTAGGAGCAGGTCCTTTGCTTCCTTGAGAAAATCAGCTTTCTCCAGGGTGAGCTCTGCTTGGTAACCTCTGCTGGCCAGAGATGCAGAAGTATATCACAGAAAGAGGGACATCACCTCTCTAATGTGTGTTCCTGTGCCCTTCAGTATTTCCAAGGGAAAAGCCACTTCTGGTTTGTCAGCCAGCACCAGTCTCTATATAAAAGCCTACTCAGTCTGCTCCTTTCCTCTCTTAGGTGTTTATATCCACTAATAGTATCCTTCTCAACTGGGGTGTATTGCTGACATCTAAAAGGATGTAATTAAACAACACAAAAAAAAAATCAGAACTTCATGGACAGCTAAAAGTAGAAAAAGTTTTCTTCATAGGTCTTTCCTGCTTTTCAAACATAAAGCCAACTCTGCTGGTAGAAGTAGGCATTCACTGCCAAAAGATTCGTCAGTGCAACTGTGGCCATCTCTTCTGTCTTTCTGACCCAGGTGGGCAGCACTGCTTGCAAGGTGGATTGCACTGGAGCGAACTGTGTCTGCCCAACTCGGTTTTTACCAGATGCTGGTGCTGCACTCTCTGCACTGGAATGCATACATGAAGAGAATGCTCTGAACCACCACCTCACTCAAAGCACTTTGTGCTGTTTCAGTTGGAGTGTAATGGCCACTAGCAAATCTTTCTGTTTCCTACCCCAGATATTTCTGTTGGTGTCTGATCAGAAGAGTAAACATTTGGAAGGACTTGCAAAAGATGGTCTGGTCCCTCTCTATGCAGTGAGACAAGACCAGCTCTACAGTGGTTGCCCCTAACATGTATTTTTTGAAGACACCCTGTGCGTGCATAGCTGGTGCATGTCCGTTATTCACTCTCCTTGCATTTGAAAAACCTTTAGTAATGTATGATTCAAATTGATTTTGCTGCCAATTATTTCTGGTCCTTCCAAGATATGTGGTGGTTATTTCTCCTCCTCTTCCTCAGAACTACCTTTTATCTGCCCGAAACCCATTAATTCCTGTGTCTCAGATGCCTCTAGTCCAGCTTAACAGGCTCACTGTTTCTCACAGGTCCAGTTTTCCAATCTTTGTGTCATACATATTTCACTACTGTTTGATTTGTCTACATGTTTTCTTAAATTTACTGTCCAAACCCAAGAAAGGAGTTCCAGTTCAGGATTCAGTCATGCAGATACAAATACCAGCCATGTTTTCCCTATCACACTTCACTTACCTAACCCCAGAATGAATGAGATTTACCTTTTTTTTTATAAGAGTGCCTCATTACTTTCACTTAGTCTCTCTGCAGCTTTCTAACCCTCTCTTACTGGTCTGCAGCACAGTCTGCATCTCATTCTCCACTTCTGTATTTGAACATTAATTGTTTTTCCCCCTTCCTGAGCACAGTGCTTTGTGCTCGCTGTTGCTGGATGCCATCTGGTTGGTTTCTCCATGGAGACCGCTTCTTCAATTTACTTATGATCCTGGTCTCCAAAGCACTTGCAACTGCCCCCAACTTGGTGTCATCACAAAAGTCAGATGACTTCTTTCTGTTCCTTCATGAAGGTGTTAATTAAAGTATTCAAGAGATCAGGACACAAAAGCAGACTGTGGTAGGAGCCCACAAAAACCTCCATCCCTGGTGGATAACGATCTGTTGATTGCCGCTCTTTGAAGCATCCTGATGGTGATTTAACATCCGCCATATTCTTGTAGCTTGTTGAAGACTGTCAGGTCTTCTGAAGTCAAGATATATCTCATAATCACACATACTGCTCCTGCATTATCTGCTATGCCAGATATCCTACAAAAAAGGGAAATGAGGCTGGGGTAGCATGATATGTGCTTGCCAAAAGTACATTGCTTATTTTTTCTTTCACTCTGTTATTATCCTCTCGGTGCTTATAAATGGGATGTTTAATCATTTGTTCCAGTATGTTGAGTGACTTGTTCCAACAGGGACACAGTGACTGCCCCTTTCCCAGCATTACCTTGGCTTCTTGTTCTTTTAGGGTGATATCCTCATGCCCTTCTCAGGCATTAAATATCAAATGAGCAATCTCTATAGTCCTTACTTATCTCATCGGGGTCACAGACACAAGGGCACAGAGGTTTTAGCATGCATAGTGTTTAAAAGTCCTGCAATAAAGAGATAGGCCTGTCCAAGTCAATCTAAAGGAATAACTCTATTAGGAGGAAGCAGATGGTTGCTATATTTGCTGTCCAGAGCCTTTACAGCTAGGCATCATTGTGAATGGAGGTGTTTGGGAACTTTTCAATGAAACGAAAACATTCCACTGTTTTTGACT